CTTTATAATCTTCACCTCCTCTTCCTATATTTCATACCTGGTAATTTGATGAGCATTTGATTCAAATTTAAAGACATCAGTGGGCCTGGAGAGATGGCTCAGCCGTTAAAGGCTAGGCTCACAACCAAAAAAAAAAAAAATTAAAGATATCAGTGACCAGTACACACACATCTGATTTTAAGGTCCTCTTTAGCTAATAGTAATTTCTTTATAAGAGATTATGAGAAGGCCAGTCATAGCCAAATATACAACTTCCCATCCTTGGGCTTTTCGTTGTTTTAAAAAACCATGCTTTTCCTGCTCATTTTCAAGGGATAGCAAGAAGAGAGTGACTTGAATCCAATATGAATTTATTACTAATGAAAAGATGGCCAAATTAATCCAGAAGTATTTATTCCATTGAAGCAATGTATTATTTCTAGGCAACCTGATAACCCCCTTTTCCTTAGCAGGCAAGACCTAATGAACTTTGGGTTTTACATGTGTGAAAGATGTAATGTTATGCCTACATAAAGAAAATGAAATGATGAAGTGTTTCTTCAAGTGGCTTTAACCAGAATGTCAAAAATGAACATAACATCAGATGAGCTTAAAATGCGTAATGAGCCAACTTATGTGTTGCCAATATGGAGGGAAATGGTGGGGGAAAATAGTATGGTAATTCATGAGTTAAACAACTGTTATATGTACCCCCATCAGTACTGCTTCCAGAAGACACAGAATATGCATACTTGTATAGATATACATGCCCATATAGTGTCCTAAATGACCCAGATCTTCTCCCACCACATACTTAGAAGGACTCATTCATCTTTTGCTAGAAGTGGTTACTGGCTACACAGAAATGAGCCTCCATTCTTGGAATTATTCTTCTCCATCAATAGCCACTATTACACAGCTGTGATAACTTCCCAGAGTACACAATCAATTGCTGGTTGATGCAGTAGTCTAAAAGCCTGACACTTGGTCTCATCTCAGGGCAACTTGAAAGAGTTGTTCTATTTTCTTCACAAGGGTTTCTTCCTAAATGCACACCTGAAGAAACTTTCCACATCAATTAATCCCCATTTCCTAGTCAGAAGATAAGTGATGGCATCACTGCTAGCCTCTTCTGCCTCTGAGATGTATTGAATATAGCCAAAGCAAGCAATATATAATATACAATCATGTGCATGGCATTAACTTAAATGTATAGATTAACAGAAATGGGCTGAGTTTAAGTTTAAGAGCTAGTCAGTCATAAGCCTGAGTTAATGGCTGAGCAGTTTTAATTATTATAGGCCTCTGTGTGTTTACTTGGGTCTGTGCAGCTGCAAGCCAGGTGGGCACAGGAAAACTTTCAGCTACAAGGTACCACATGCCCTTAATCCCTTAGCAGGCTGAATCTCTGTGTGTTCAAGGCCACACTAGTGAATAGAGCCAAGTGTGATGACACAGACCTTTAATCCCAGTACCAACCATAGAGACCTGGAGGTCTGTACAGATAGACAGTGACAGAGCTATGTAGAAAGAGGAAGTGAGGTAGCTGGGTTAAGAGCCAATGAGAGGGCAGAAAAGTAAGACATATAAGCCTTGTAGACAGGAAGTCGCGCTCTTTTGGAAGCTGCAGAATTGGCGAGGTGAGGTTAGCTGGTGGCTTTCTGTATTTCCCTGATCTCTCTAAGGCTTTAGCCCAAATTTCTGGCTTTGTGTCTTCAACTTTCCAGAATTTATCAGTACATGATTCTTGATGCATTTAAAAGTAATTTACCTTCTTAACAAGATCCTATTTCTCTCTGGATAAGAACAGGGATATTAAAACAGCACAAAGAATGGCAAGTCAAGTTATCCAGAGTACTTGGTACATCATAGGTCTGATGATAAAAAATTTTAGTGTTGATCAATACCATGTACTAATTGCTTACCTTGTATAAGAGAGGATAAGCCCAGAACATTCTCTTTGGGGTTATGAGGAAAATAATGCATTATTACTCAGTAAAATCATATATTCATTTTATAAAACTTTCTAGAACAAGATTCTAATATCTATCATATGATATTATAATTTGAACATTTCCCTGAATGTCAAGAACCCAATGCAGTCAGACAAACATAAACCAGAGAAGTCTATGATGTACCATGCTTTGTTCAAGCCCATGGGAAGCCTGTCTTTTCTGAATGGAGACAGAGGAGGAATGGATGGGGTAGGGGGTAGATGGGAGGTTGGGAGACAGGAAACAGGAGGAGAGAAGGGAGGGGAAACTGTAGTCTGTATGCAAAATAAGTGAAAAAAATGTTAAACAGTGAGGTTTAATCTGTTACTTTCTCATGTCATTCTTATAAACTCATGTCACTCTATCTGATCCAATTCAGTTCTCCTGAGGAATGTTTCTAACATATCTAGAAATCAGGCAACAAAGAATGTTTTGTAATATTCTTATGAATCCCAAGAGTAGTTTTTAGGTAAGGTGAATTTTTCTGCTAATCTTATTCATTAATAATTGGCATTGCCTGCATCTAGGATAGAGGTCAACTTCCATTGACTGGTAACAGTTGTCTGAATGGCTGTGCTGAGGAGGATTTGAAACCCAAATCAGGATCACTGGGAACAAGTACTACAATCAATTACCAATGTTCTCATATTAGCTAATTTACAGAATATAAGTCAAGCCTACCTTGCAAGATAAAATGTTCAGCCTCATTACATATAACTATCTGCAATACAGTTGAAGTTTCAGCTGTACCAATATATTGTGGGGGCAATTTCAATCAAGCTCTTTAATAACCCCCTACCCTATGCTTGTACTTGGTGTCACAACAAAAGTTTTTCCCATTATTGGCTACTAGGTCAATTCCTTTTCACATACCATAATTCACTTCCTCACTTAAATCCCCTGGGAAGTATTTCATGTTCTCTTAAATCAAATTAGTTTATTATGGTTCCTTGCTCATATATCTTCCATTCAATTTATACTGTAATCATATAATTTCACCTCTAAACTATGACTTTCTTGAGACCAGAGGTAGCACCTATTACAATATATAATTAATAGAAAAAAAAACATTTTTTGAATCAGTGGTCAAATGAAGAAATTACCTTTATATTTTAAAAGCTGACATTTTAGGGGCTGGAGAGATGGGTCAGTGGTAAAGATTATGTACAAATCTTGCAGAGGACCCAAGTTTGTTTCCAGCACCTACATCAGGCTGTTCTCAACTGCCTATAACTTCAATATCCAGAGGAATCCAATGCCTCTGGCCTCCATAGGCATATGCACTCACATGCACATATTCACACATCATCTCACACACACATGAACATAATTAAAACAATAAAAATGAATCTTAAAATCTGGAATTATATATACTTTATTTTATCCATTGTGGTACAAGGCCCAGAATGTATTTACAGTGCTAGTCAACTAATCAAGGAAGATGTTTTAAAATTATAATCCATGAGACTATAAGCACTAATAAAATTAGAATGCCAGATTTTGTCACTTATACCTATCAGGGACATTATCCAGGACTGAATTTGAGCATATTGTTTCTTGTTCTCAAAGGTCTTTTATTTGTTTCAATGTGTTTTAAATTATATCCATCCATTTGGAATGACCCAATTTAACAATTTTAAAATAACTGTTTAAATATAAACAAATTTAGTTGATATAATAATCTAATTTAAATGGCGTTAAGTCCTTTTGTTCTCACACAATGATGCCATTGGAAATGAGAAATATATCATTACTGTGTCTGTATACTCAAAATCAAACAGCTTCAAAACACTTCCATATTACAATTTCCAGAGTATTGGCTAAGGTTCATTATATACAAGGTGCAATTCTAATTACTCTGTGTTACACCAATACATTTAATGTTTACACCCCTTTTCGAAAGGATCTTCTATGACCTTCCTTATTTTGTGGATAAGATAAACAAGTCCTAATGAAAAAATTGTGTCCACAATTTTGCCTCCTACCAAACTTCTCTAATTTCTGGAACCTCAAAATGTGACTGTGGTCAAAGACAAGGTCTTTAAGAAGCCAATTAAGATCCAATGAAGGCATTGGGGCAGTCCCTAATTTAATATGACTGATGTTATTTTTTTTTTTTTTTTTTTTTTTTTTTTTTTTTTTTGAGACAGGGTTTCTCTGTGTAGCTTTGCGCCTTTCCTGGAGCTCACTTGGTAGCCCAGGCTGGCCTCGAACTCACAGAGATCCGCCTGGCTCTGCCTCCCGAGTGCTGGGATTAAAGGCGTGCGCCACCACCGCCCGGCATGACTGATGTTCTTATTAGAGAAGTCTAAAACAGACACACCACAGGATTAGAGAAATGGTTTAGCAGTTAAGAGAACTGGCTGCTCTACCAGAGGACCTAGGTTTGATTCCCTACACCCATCCAACAGCTTACAATAGACTATAACTCCAGTTCTAGAGGATCCAATGTTGTCTTCTGATAGCCACAGTCATATATGCAGGCAATACACTTATACACATTAAATAAAATATTTAAATAAATAGACACCCACAGATAGAAGAACATGAAGAACCAGTGTGCACAATATTTTGGGGAACACAATACCACCACATTTCTCCATTTTTTGTCTAAAATTAAAAAGCTTATAAGTAATACAAGAAAAACTATCCAATAAGTATATACAATATATAGTCAAGAATTACATTAATGATATCTAGCCCATTAACATATGACAGATTCAGATAAAAACTCCATTAATATATAACAATGTCCAGTCCAGTAATATTTGACAAATTCAGATAAAAATTTTACATTACTTGTCATATTTAAAACAAGTAGTCCCTTTTTAAAAGTAGATTCAGTAATTGACCTTTTTATCTGATCATATCCATATTCTCTCTTTTTTCTTTTCATAATAGATTAAATAATCTACCTTTTGTCATGTTTATATCTTCCCCATTTTACTTTTAGAGTAAATTCAATGATCTACCCATTTATCCTATTATTTCTTTATGTGGTGGTATTCTAATTGTACTGAAATGTGATTTTAATTGTATGTTAATAAATAAAGTTGCCCGGGGTCAGAGCAATTAGAATCATAGACAGAGTATGGCGGTGGTGGTGCACGCCTTTAATCTTATAGATCTCTGTGTGTTCAGGGATACAGCCAGCATTGGAGACATATGCCTTTAAGACCTAGAGGGCTGTACATACAGGCAGTGACTAGGCAGTCACGTTATTGGGTTTACAACCAATGAGAAGGCAGAACAAAATACTATGAAGAGACAGACACACAGGAAATAGCTCTCTTTCGGGAAGCTAGGACCACCTCAGGAGGAAGGGTGAGATTTTAGCTCTGAGCTCTGATCTCTTGGCTTTCTCTTTTACATTGGTTCTGTGTTTCTTATTTATTAAGACGATTGGTTACATCTACATCTGGTGCCCAACGTGACAAGAATCCATTAAAAACCTCTTGGCTTGGTGGCAGGTCCAGTTTCCCTAAAGAGCGGCTGGCCCTTTCCAGCCGTGGCGGCCTGCTAACGAGTCAGAGTGGCCGGTCAGCTTGCTAGCCCAGGCCCAGGTCTGCTTGGCCTCAGGCCGGACTAACCAGTGAGCTGCTTGCTTAAAGCCTGCTTGCTTAAAGCCAGTGCTACAAACAACTCAGGCCTGCCCTGCCGAACAGGGCCCCACCTGTAAAGCCAATGAACATGGTCAGAGCTTAAGGAAGCGAGAGCCAAGCCTTGACTAGGTGCAAGAGGGAACACGTGGCTGGATTTAAGCTTTAGCCGGCTATGCTTTCTTGTGCGTTCTCTCTCTCTCTCTCTCTCTCTCTCTCTGGATTTACACCTTGGACACTACGTGGCTGTTTTGAAAATCCCCTTGGATTTGTACTGTTCTACGTAGATTTGTAAGTCACAACATATCAGATATTTTAAAGGAAACTATGTAAAAGAGAAATTTTTTTCCACGTTAAAAAGAAAATGGATTTTATGTGTACATTGGAAGAAAATTGGGTTTTGTTTGAAATTTTAGGCAGTCTGACAATGGAACAACTATATGAGAGGATTAGTATTGGTGGAATTACACAGTTTATCACTATGCTTATCCTCCTTTTAAAATTTAAAAACACAGTCAATTTAAGTGCCAGGATGACAGCTTTAGAAAAACTTTTTAAACCTGTAAAAATTCAGACAGAAGAAATTAACAGCGAAGTTGTTTCAAGTTTGCATCTTAAGGTTACAGAAAGAAAGCCTGTTTTCACACAGTCACCCTTAATTTATCCTGTAACCGTACAGCAGATGCCT